GGAGGGTTTGGGGTGTAGGTTGGTTCGGGTTGACGGTTTATATTCTGCTTTAGACTTAGAGCCTGCATGAATTGGGGCTTCGGGTTGAGCATAGGGTTTAAAAGTACAGGTTAGTTAAGGTTAATAATAACGGGCGCGCGCGCACTCTACGTTGAAAGGCTTATGGCTTGCGTAAGATCCCGGCCCTCACTGTGACCCCTGGCCGCCCCCCAGCAGCACCCCACCCTCCCTGTGGTATGGTGTGGTTCGGGGTATGGGTCTGCTTGGAGTCCCACCCCCTTCGGTGTGGTATGGTTGGGGCTTTGGATCCGCCTGGGTGTTTCGCATAATCATCATTAACCAGCATCAACATCATCATGACTGCTTCGAGGATTGTGTTTGCATGGGGGCGCTTCCTTCCCCCCCTGCAGTGTGGCATGGTTCAGACTTGGGTTTCCTTGGGGTCCCTCCTCTCCTCTCCCCCCTGTGGCGTGGTGTGGTTCGGGTTTGGGTCTGCTTGGGTTGCTGTGTGGTGTAGTTCGGGGCATGCGCCTGCTTGGGGGGGTTGGTGATGTCACGAGCATGATCATTATCATGATGATGATGATGACCACCATCATGGTCATCTCCATCATCATCATCATCGTCATCATCATCATCATCATCATCATCATCCTGTTCCTTTCTTGGGTCAGCTGCCACAGGAAGCGGGCCTGTCAGGAACGCGATCCTCGTTTGCACTTCTAATGCCCTCATGTCGAAGTCCTGGGTGGCACGAGGCCCTCGTGACAGCTGATGGTTCTGGGGCAGCCCTGAGGGAGAAGTGCACGCAGTCACAAGGATTCAACATATTTGGACCTGTGCCGGGCGGGGGGGGGGGATACCATGGGGGGGGCTCGGCGAACCAGGAACCGGGATCATATATGCTTACATGTATGTATACTCATAATCCAGATACATACCGAATCAAAATACCTTTAACCTGGGTTTATGCACGAGAGGCCTAAACGTGGGATGGTTCGTGACAGTATGACCTTCCTTTTACTTTTGAATCTCACGTGCATGCTATCGATTTTAAACTCAGCTTCGGTTTGCATTTTTTTACCGAATGCGGGGCGAGAAAGGAATTGTTGCACGATCGACCTCACTCTTGATGGCACGTCTCGGCACCAGGCTCACGACGTTTTCGGCAAGACGCTATCTTTCCTGCAGGCAGATTCTTGATACTTGATACCGCATGTTGTTCCTGAAGCTGTGGATACGAGTGCTGCGGCGACCGGGAGGTTGGAAAAGACAACGAAGGGGCTGCCAAGGCGAGTGCCTTGTCATTGTTGGCGGAGGTTGGCGAGAAACAGAGAGACGACCGCGGCTTAGAAACGCCGCCGTATCCCAGTTTCTCGCACCGCTGGCTCATGTCGCTCCCAGGCTCGCTTGGCCACATTAGCGCTCACCATGCACCCTGTCGGAAAATGTCTGGTTCTGGGCGTAGACCGTTTCTTGCAACTGCTATCTGTGCGGTGGTTTCGACACAGGCATCATCTCTTAGCCCGGCACTGGCACACATGCATCAGGAAGTTGGACACCTTTGAGAAGGTCAAAAAGGCGATTGACGAAATGAGGGTAGCCCTCAAGCAGGAGCAGGAGGCAGAGAAGAAGAAGAAGGCATCGGCTCCTCTACGAGTCTTACTGTTGGAGAGCTAAGACCACTTTTGCTTTGTGTCACTTCGCCGAGAGGATGGCAATCTTGTTAACGTTGTAACCCATCTTTCGTGAAAGGGTCAGCAGTGGGAGCTGCTGCTTTGTCTTTGCCTACTGCTGCATTGTCGTGGGGGGAGTGGGAGTGGGAGCCGGAGGGGAGCAGGAGCTGGAGTGGCAGCAGCGGAGCAGGAGGAGCGAGCCAGCGGCACCACCACTACCACCACTACCACCACTACCACCACTACCACCACTACCACCACTACCACCACTACCACCACTACCACCACTACCACCACTTACCACCACTACCACCACGACCACCACGACCACCACGACCACCACGACCACCACTTACACCACTCCCACCACTCCCACCACTCCCACCACTACTACCACTAACACCACTACCACCACTACCACCACTTCCACCACTTCCACAACTGAAACCACTACCACCACTACCACCCACCGCCACCACCACTGCGGCCAACGCCACCGCCGCCGCTGCCGCCACTGCCGCCGCTGCCACCGCCACCACCACCATCACCAGCAGCCCACCACCTCATCCTCAGCCTTCCTCCGCCGCCGGCCCCAATGTTGGACGTGGCTGCTGTCATCAAGAAGTAGATATCACCTCCTGCGAGCATGTTGTGTCGCGAACCCTCTGAGGTGGAGCATCATGCTAGCAGAAGTTGTGGCTAAGGGAGTGCAGAGAAAACTTGTCGGATCAGACAGAAGCCTTCTGCCTTGCCCACTCAGGCAAGCCCAGAGCGTCACAACTGTGTCACCACCAGTTCCAACATGAAAACTGTTCAGATATTAGGCTTGCACATGCTTGCACGTAATAGTGCATTATGGTCTGATTTGTTAGTGACCTGGAGGATTGGTGCACGTCCCAGTTTCAGAAGAAGAAGTTGGAAACACAGGACAGGCCGTGCCTGCATCAGGATGCATACGACCTCCTTCGCAGTGACAGGAGAAAACTCACGAAGAGCAGACCAAGATCGCTGAGCTGGAAAGCCTTCACAGCTCTGTCTCGCAGCTGGCCGGGGACATCAAGCCTTATGCTCAGCCTTGGAACAGTCAGTGTCATGGCAACGGGATCTTGTGTTGCCCAGGCTCTTGGAGGACGAGGCGAGAAGCCGAGACACTGCCGAGACTCTCACGGTGAGTTTTCACAGCCAGCGTCTTCTTGAGGTCTCCGAAATGAACAAGCAGCTTCAGGTAGCGGGTCAAAACCGCGAGAAGGAAAACAAGGACTGAAGCGCCCGCGGAAGCCGTTGGATGTGATGATACCGACACGAACTTGAAGATGTCTTTGCACGGGTCTCATGCCCCACCAGGAGTTCCAGAAGGTTGTGGGAGAGCAGCGCACGACCCAAGTCCTCTTGAAGGAAGCAATGGCATCTCTGAAGTCTGTTTATGCCAAAGAGGTGGGGTCTGAAAACTAGGTGTTTCATCTACTGCCGGTGCAGCCTTCCCCTTTTGGAGGCCGCTTTCCTCCAGGAATCGACATCCAAAGTCGCAGGGTGCCAGGAAGAGGAGCCTGAGTTCAAGGCCAGGGAGACAAGATGAGCCAAAGGAGCCAGGCTTCATTAGCTTCAGTTCGAACGGTTGGGAGGACTTCAAGCAGCAGTCCAGCAGCTATGGCGCATCAAGCTCACTTTCGGGCTGGTACGTAGCATGTCGTAGTCATTGACGGGAAACTTCAGGTGCTTGGCATGCTGCAACAGTTGATCGCGGACTCGAAGGCGATGGAAGTTGAGGCCGGACATGGCCGGACTCTTTGGGACACAGCCAAGCTGAACTTTCCCACTTTCCAGGCGACACATGCCGAAAGCACTGCGCAGGAGGACTACGAGGTATGCGATGGGGTGTATTGCAGAGTCTCTTGAATTGCTTTGGCTGCTACTCGTTTCGCAGGCTTTTACCAAAGGGACCACCGTGGCTAGTCAGCAAGTGCAGGCTAGAGACAACGGCATTCGCAGCACATGAGCGCGCAACTCAGGCATCTGTGGAAGCGAAGACGAAGGAAATCACGGACAAAGATGCGGACAAGGGAGCCACAGAGGCTTCCCTTGTGGAGGCACGGACAAAAAAGGTACAGCAAACCCTTCGCTCTTCGTCTCCACCCTGGCTTGAGCGGGGCTTGCAGGCTCGGCAGTCCAAAGAAGGCCTCACGGCGGAGTTGGAGAACCTCGCCACGGCGGTTGCTGAGCTGCACGCTGCACCCTGAGCAGCTCTGAGCTTTGTCGGAGGGGACTTTAGACTTTAGACCCTCGGCTTCCAGGACGAGTGTGACTACATGATGAAAAACTTTGATACTCGGTGGCTTCCTCAGAGCATCTCAGAGCTGGGCAGGAATGCAGTGAGAGCGGTAGCCTGCTGCGCGTCCGGCAAATTCCCGTCCGGTCTGCGAGGCAGTCAGCGCGAGACGACGAGATGGAAGCGTTGCAGCAAGCAAAGTCGATGCTGTCGGGTGCAAAGGCGAGGGGCCTCGGTGCGTTTTTGAAAGTTCGATGAAGTGCACGACTGCATTCCCGAATGGCTCTGCTCAAGTGCGATTGGATGCTGAGGCTTGATGCTGACGAACCGCTGAATGACGGAGAAAATGCATGCCTTCAAGACATGCTTCGTGAAGAGTCCGTGCTTTCAGTGCTGCAGTCACTGGATACGAGTAGCTGTGCTGCTCAAGTCGTTGGCGAGTGTCTATCTATGTGGACATGCAGACTAAGAGGCAGCGCTGCCTGTCCACAACAACAGCACAAGCAAGTCCCTTCAGTTTTTTGCAATGATTTAAACCGTTCAGCAATGGAAGGCCGCCAGCGACTCATTTGTCAAGGCTTAGTTTCAACCAATCCCAGAGTGTCCCGGAATTTTTTTTGGTCAGGCCTTCCCAGCGGCGCTGCAGAGTCGCCTAGTCGACAGGCAGCCAAAGTGGCCTGAACCTTACGAACCGTCATCCTCAGAATCAGGCACGGGAGGGTTTCTAGTGTTGGCTTCTTTTGGATCTGTCACGTTTGGATCAATCAAGGAATCCCTTGCCGAACTTCAACCAGCCCCCCTGTACAGCGGCCAGTGGCTTTTACATGGATGCCAGCCATGGAGGCATCCTGTGCATTCCGATGGATTCAGGATATACCATCGGCTCCAAGCTGCCATCACCACTGCGCTGCTTGCGAAGGAGATACCTGATGTGGTAGTGTTGCATTGCATGGCTGAGGATGGCTGAGGCTCGAGTCACTCGCGTCACTCGTTCGCTCAGAGCAGGTCCAGCAGCCTCCACTCCGCGCAACCGGCGCAGCCGACGCAGCCGACGCAGGTGGCAGCACTCCTACGCACCAGAACGACTAGTGATCACTCGGACTCGAGTCTCCCGACTGGGCCTGTTTCTGATGCGCGGGGTGCGGGGTGGGCTCGTGCATCCAAGCACCCATAGTCGTGGACAGGCGCTGAGCCAGGAGGCGCGCGGCACTGAGAGCGCCCAGGGCTAGGGCAACATCTGGACAGTAGCTTCTGATTCTGCGCTTTCAGAACCTGGGAGGGCTCCCCGTCGCATCTGCGGTCCCCGAGGAGGTCAAGGCAGGCGCCTGATTCTGCGCAGTGCAAGGTTCAATCCTCGGCGAGTGTTAGGCCGAGACCACCGCTGCCGTCCTTGCCACGAGCTGCGCGGCGGCTGCTCCCGAAGGAGGATAGTCGGATGAAGGGATGTTCGGCATCTCTCCCCTGCTTCAAAGCTTGCGAAGGAAGATCGTTCACGCACAGGACTCCGTCTCGGCAAACCCCGGGGACTGTACGAACATCTAAGGTGCTCAAATTCCCCAGCCCGAGGCTTTGAATGCCAGGCAGAAGAAGAGAAGTAGTTGCGCATTGGGAAGCATATTGGTATTCAAGAGCACTTGAAAGGCCGCCGCAGCCAGGCCAAGACGGATCGGAGACTTCAGCTTGGGCCTCTATACAGCCTGGACATTGGAAGAGCTTGTGACCCCTTTCCTGGGTCGGTTGTGTCTTGATCACCAGATCGGCAGACGCTGTATGCCTTGAGCAGAGCATGTCTTACAGTTTATTGCGTTGACGCATTGACACCGCATGATACACGGACTTTGACAGCAAGCACTCGGTGCCGTCAGCAGTACTTTCAGCCAGATGAAATGAGCACGCCAGCATCACCGGCATTCAGAGCCATGGAACCTGGCGGGAAAGAAAGCCAAAGTATGCCCCCGCCTTCGCAAAAGCGCCGATTTGAACCGCAGGCCTTGCGTTGCCACCGGCATCACTGAGTCACTTGCTGTTCCGTCCTTCAAGGATGACCTTCCTCATCCGCGGAGGCAGTGCTACCTGTGCCATGCATCGCCATGCACCATGTCTGGCTAAGATTGGCTAAGTCCGTCCAGGCAATGCCTGAACAGGAAGTTTGAGTCGGACCTCGAGAGTCGCTTTCGCAACTTCCTCAGGGATGCGCCCCTCCAGGCCAGCGAAGTCATGCTCTCAGCAGTCTGTGGAGCAAGAGGGATCCTGAGACCAAGTTCGAACATTTTTGCAACTGGAATTCCGGAAACTCATGACCATTCTAGGTTCGTTCAATTTGCCCCGAAGCGCCGACGCAACGACATGTGCGTTTTCTTCAGGGGTCGCTACACGGCTACACCAAACTTCAGCAGCACTCCCGCTCCCTCCCTTTCACTCCTCTCTCCCTCCTCTCATTCTGCCGAATTGTGGTCCCATTGCGGTGTAGCGCACGTGTGCGAGTAGGAACAAGGGCCTGCCGTCGACTGCCTGAGCATTCGGCTCGACCGCTAATTTTGACTTCCCGTCCACGCCACCGGGCGGTGTCTGGGGCGGACGCAGAAGTGCGCGCCCCGGCACCGGCACCGGCACCGGTTTTCGGGGCGGGTTGCCCGGTTGGGCGCAGTTCGCGCTTGACCAAAAAAGGGCACCTGCACCTGATTTGGAATGTTGGATAATAATGTGTCGTTCGCGTGGCGCTTGTATTTTGCTTTCCTTGTTGCATCGAAACTTTTACCAATCCTAAGCTGCATCTGCCGCAAATCCTAAATTTAGAAATCCACCACCTATCCCTGCCTATGCCCTGGACACCCACAGATCTCAGGCGAAGCCCTTTCCGGGCAGCTCGTCCAACGCTGCATCGCCAGGAGTGGCCTTGGTCATTGGCCGTCGGCCACTCAGAGCTTCTGCCTTAGTGCCGGGTCGGGATCAAACTGCTTTTCAAAGTGCCAAGCGCTAGTGGTGTGTTCCCGTGTCTGCAGTCTTCCGTGGACGCTGCGACACCCCAAGGAAAGCTCCTGATTTCAAGGTTTTCGCACGTCTTGTCAGCATGTCACTGCTCTGAGTAATGACTCTAGGGGAAGCAAGATTCCTCAGTTGGAGGAGAATGGGGAAGCACGTAAGAGTAAGACGAGGCAGGAAAGCTTGTGTGAGGTGTTGTCGGCGGCAAAGGGAAGCTGCACGACATCGTGTTGCCGTTGGCATCGGAGGTGCTCATGGAGGCATCGTGCGACGTGTAGACTCAGCAGATTTGTCTTCTTACGGTTGCGCATCGGCATATCGTCGAAATTTTGTCAACGGAGCACTTAAGGTTTTTGTTATTGCAAGCTGCAGCAGGCAAACAAACTGAGTCTCCTGCCAAGCTGTCCGTGCACTATCTGCGTTGGTCCCATAGATGTAGCAGCAATTCCCTGGGTGTTGCTCATCGGATATGCAGGGCGGCTCGACATAAAAACGGTCACATAGTCGGCAGGCAGCGTTTGCAGGTGAATAAGTTTGGTTTCCTTTTGCCTCTTTGGCCATTGCAGCATTCCTTGATTGAATGGGTCTGTCACTTGCGGTGACGCGCGTCTCGACAAAGAAGGGGGCCAGTTTGAGCCCTCAACGACGTGCACGAAGCCTCTGTGCACCGGCGAGGGCACCGCTGCTGGCGAGGAGCTCTCTCTGACGCCTGCTGTCGTCTCTCGCTGGCGAGGACGGGCCCGGACACAGCTTCCTGCCGGATCTCTCTGAGACGCAAGTCTCAAAGTTGCGAGCCTTCTTGGACAGCCGCGTGGTGGCGCACAAGGCATTCATGATCCTCCAAAGTCATGCCGTGCCTGATTCAATGTGCAGGGAAAGCCGCCGAATGAACGGCGATGGGCAAGCGTCAGCCTGGAGCAAAGGCACGCTGTTCACCTGCTGGTGCAAGCTTCGTGATAGGCAGTGACAGTGCACTGCATATTGTCTCAGGAATGCAGTCTTGCGTAAATGGAGATCCGCTGCGACCTTCTATTGCCCGGGGAGCAGATGGCACTACCAGCTCAGGTGGGGCCTTTTTTGGTCGTTGTCCTTGTGCTATCTTGTACTCTTGGAATGGCTACCGAGGTTCCGCGAGCCACAGACAGAAGGACGCCTTGCAAGCCTTTGCATCGAAGGTGGACTAAAGCTGGTGTAGGAGCTGGCAAAGATCGGAAGGAATTCAATTTGGTCTTTCAGAAGGCTCCGACCTCAGCGGCGAGAAGCGATCTGCTTGTGTCGTGAATAAGTCTTGAAAAGGATCGCGGAGTGTTTGGGGGAGGGGGAAGCCTCTCTCCCTCCCTCTTTCGGTGCAGCTGTCCAACCTGGGTGTGAGGAAGTCAGAAGGAAGCGCTTCTTTAATCAGCGCGTGGGATTGCAGAGGTGCCTGGTGGCCAAGACCCAACATGGACGGTGTCTATCGTTCAAGAAGCAGAAAAGATCTGGACAGAGGTTCGCATGAACGAGGCTGCAGGACATGGATTTGGTTTTGAAATGCTTTGACAGCACTATCGAATGTCGCTTGGAGGCGTTTCTTTTCAGCCATCGGGACCGAATGCTTGCGTCGCAGCAGCACTGTTTTAGACGCTTGGTGAAAGTATTTTGAAGATGAAGTACTGCACGATTTCAGTGACTCGTGCACAGAATCTTTGCATCGTGAAATTAGGCCGCCTTTGCAGAGACTTTCGCAGAAACGCGCAAGCATTGCAGAAGGTCCTGGAGGGCATTGACCCCCATTCATCAGGCTCCTTCGTTTCGCACTGCCTTGCTTTGCGTTGCCGACGGTGTAGGCATGGTTTGACGATGTTACACATGCCCCAGGTGATGGCGGCAGGAGGCTCTTCTACCCCGGCATCTTTGACATGGCCTCTCAGGTTCAAGAGTTCTATGATAGACGGACTCGAGGGCAGGTGGATGCCAAAGGCCAGCTTGCGCTGCACGATCTCGCTTGGAGGAAGTCGAGGTTTGGAACACAGTTGCAAGTTGCAGGTGTAGATGCCACGGCCAGACTCAGAAGCTTCAACAACTGCATCAAAACTCTTCTCCTGGAGAGTGGCTCGGCAGCCTGCGAAAAAGGGTGAGGCTAGCTGAGGCTAGAAAATCGGTACTCGTAGCTACTTGTTGCACTTGCATGGTTCCTCATCCATGTTTGGGCGGCTGTCAGAGTTTGAATCTGACTTGTCAGGATCGTTCGCAGTGGGCATGTTCAGCAAACGTTCGTGCAGCAGGTGTGGGCATTTCTGAGTTCGGCAACACCATAGGAGGGGTCGAATACGGATCATCTGCAAATTCTGCACTTAGCCCGCAGACTCTCTCCCAGACGTCGTGATGTAGCCTTTACGCCGCTTCTTCCCGTGGGGTACAGCTTGCTCGAGTTGTGTGTGTGTGTGTGTGTGTGTCTGTCTGCGTGTTTGTGTGTGCGTGAGGGATCAGTGCCAGTAAGCGGGATTGTCGTCACAACAACCGACTCACTCAATGCAGCTGTCTACTACCGTTGCTGAGTTTATGCCTTCGAGCTGAGGCCTCCTCTGGTAAAGTAGACGAGTTGGAGTCTGGGAGTTGACAGAACATTTGACACACTGCCACTGCCACCACGCAGCCCTAGCCTTCGACGCAGATGCATCTGCTGGAATTGTATAGGAGTCACTCCTTTGCCCGCATAGTCGCCAGCATGCCTCGGTTTCTGGACTTTCCTTGGTCGTGGCTGCACCTTCGCTTCGTCTCATGACGTCGGCTCAGTATCGGTCGTCTTTTCATGTTCGAGCAGAGCACTGACAGCTGTTGGGTTGCTGGCCCATACTCAGGAAATTCGGAGGCCGTAGAATCAGCTGATCAGTGAAATCTCGTAGTTGAGGGAATGTGACGACCATTTGGGAGCTGGTCAAAGCCGAGGCTTTGTGGACGACATGGATGGAAACCTACGAATCCTGGACCTTTGCTGCGGCCGAGGGCAGGACCTGATGAAGCTGCTTGTCATCGTGGTGATCACGTGCATCCAGCGGTCTAAGGCGGCATCTTCTGGCTCTGTGTCCTTGATGCTAAACATGCCAACCAAGGTACTCTCGGCAGCATCGCACCTGCAACGTTGCATCTTTGGTTTGTGTGGACTTTGTGGCAGAAGCTGTCGCAGAAGCCAGGCGTCGTTACAGTCGCTTTGCTTGAGAACTTGTAGCCTTATCCATTTCCCCTCTCTAATGAGATATGATGAGCAGCTTTCACAAGGCCACGGTAGTGTTCACAAGTTTGGTGAGTCCTTCTGCAAGGCGAGATGGCGGCAAGAGGTCACAAAGCTGGGCGGCCCGACTTCGCGGCATCGTTCTACACCGGTGACTGTAGCAGCGCCGAAGTCTTCAACGAATTGGCTCAGGATGGTTTTTCAGAGCGGCGTGGCTGTCATAGTTCTCTCCGTATGTACCGCAGGTAGATGCGCGTATAGGCTTAGAGGCCAACAGGATACCTAACGCATCGACTCTCCGCGCAGGTGGCCATCATTCATGTTCGGGCTGAGCTTTCAGAACCAAGTCTAACAGTACCGAACAGGCTTAATACACAACCAGACAGAATAATGGTGCTCGCGAGTGCACTGAGCACAACAGACTGTTTCGTTCTGCTCACTGGACTCACGCAGTGAAGCTTTGCTTCAAGAGAGTTCTGCAGAGGTTTGATGTCGTCGTGTGCCAGTTTGGCCTCCACTATCTCTTGGGAGCAGAGGAGGCCTGGGAGGACTTGATCTTCTCCGCAGCCCTGTGCCGGGACTAGCGAGGATGCCACTCGTTTCCTGCAGCGAATCTTCGCGCTTCTTCGGCCGGGCGGTCGCTTCATTGCCACGGCCCGAAGCACAGCAAACGGCAGAAGAGGCGTACGTGCGTGATCCAACCACAGCAAATCTCCACTTTGGCAGGTGCCTTCGTGTGAGGTACTAGCAGATTTGTATGAGCAAGCGACCCCTTTCACTGACAGTGGCAGGACGGCTTCACGTTGATGAGCTGATATGAGCTGCAAGCTGCATCCTTGAGCTTGAAGCTGGTTCGCCAGGAGTCGCGAACGCGAGCTCCAGCAGAGCTTGTTTCAGGTTGCTTGGATGTGACGATATGTGACGGCCTGTGGTGCAGGGATGACTGCCGCTGCAAAGGTTCGCTTTGAAGGAGAAGCCTGGCGACACTTGGACACTGAAGGGGGTCGGCTGAGCCTGGATGAGGCCCTCGTGCTCAGACCGTGCTCACGAACGCAAGAAGACGTGGAAGCTGAGAGGTCTTCCAAAGTCGCTGGGGTTTGCCCTACCTCTTCTCGCTGAAGGGGGCTGTTTGTGCTGAGGCCCGGACATGCTCTGTCAAGTCTTGGCACGTGGCAGCTTGCAGCAGGAGTATCTTCTTCCCTGGGAAGCCTTTGAAAAGCTTGCCGAATCCACAGGCTTCAGGCCTCTTTGGTTGCAGACGCAGCACTATTTCGTGCGAGTTTATGTTGTGCGAACGCAGCTGTGCAAGTTGCGTAGGTTGCGGTAGGCTACGGTAGACCGTCTCGGCTTTGTAGCCATTGTAGCCATGATCCAAGTGTGATGGCGGATGCGTCCTTCCCGGATCTCCTCAGCTTGTTGAAGGACAAGTGCGGCCCCTACGTCTGCTCTGATCGCAGGCAGAATTCGGCGGTGGGAGCCGACAGGTCTGAGTCCACTGAGCCACGAGTACATCGTAAGACGGTAAGCCGCATTGCATCGAAGCCCTCAAGTTCCCTGTGCAAGACATGCATGGAAAGCTCATACTACAGCATGCATTCATGGTCATCACGCCGTGTGTCTAAGGTCAAAGTTCTTCAACGACGTTTTTTCCAAAGAGGCTTGGCACAGCTTGGCCCTAGAGAAGCTGCCGCTGTTTCGCTGGGCATACCCGTGAATCGGGTTGTAGCAATTGGATCTCAGGACAGAAGAAACGAAAGTATGAGCTGTGACGAAGAACAAGTCTTCAAGCTGTGCCATGCCGGAAGCAGCCAAGGGGCAGTCGCTGGAATCCTGTCTGTGCTTTCGTGATGCCGGGACGAGAAACCGAAGCGTGTGTAAGGTACAGCGGATTCGTGCTGGAGCGTCCCGAGACTGAGACAGAAAAGAACGGATGCTCACAGTGGTCCCGAAGAGGGGCCATCCATGGTCTGTGCAACTGAAACTGCACCTCAGTCCTCTGGCAAAACGAACACCTTCAAAGGCAGAGGCTGAGCGGAACTTCGCAGGCCACGGTAGCTTCGAAGAAGGTCGAAGATCGGTACATTGACGTGAACCGCCAGTTTCGTCGAAGGTCCAGCCAAGGCATCGCAATACTTGGGTGGTGCCAGGCCCCGATGCCTCATCGGGTGGAATTTTTAAAGCTGTGCCGCTGTGGATGCCGCTGCTAGCGTAGCAACCGTTGGTGTTCTGTGCCAGAACACCCACACTCGCCGGACTTCGCGCACTTTCCTGTGCCGGTCGACGAAACGTTCCTGGAGGCGAACGAGGTCCGACCAAAGCTTGAGGACGTGTCTCTCTTGTCGGGTCTTGAGGACAAAAGTTGGGAGCCGGAGTCCCGGAGGAGTTGCAAGTGCACACCCTTGGCACATCAGTACTGCCGCCAGAGGATGCTGGGATCGGAAGCAGTATCCAGACGATGCCACCGGTCACGCTGTGTCCCCGGTGGACTTTCAGCTCAGCATTCTGCAATACAATTTGGCCCATAGGCTGCCGAAGCACATGGCGCAACCTCCCCCATTGCCTCCAGTCGACCGCCAGTGCCCAAAAGCGTCTCCACAGTTTGTTACCTGCCCATGGTGAGATCGGCCTCGTGGATGGCACTGAGGTTTGCCGTGTCGAAGCCAGCTCGAGGCTCCGCCAGAGACTTCGGCTCGTGCTCTCATCCATGCTCCCCCGCAGAGACACAGCGGCAGGCCGGCACCTGTGCCTTTCGGCTAGTAACCTGTCTCGGCTGACAGCATGGGCTTCCATGACTCCGCAGCTTCTCACAGCTGGACATGCGCTGCAAGATAACTAACACGAAACATGTTCCCATACTCAGACCCCCAGTCCATCCCAGTCCACCATCTCGTTATCAGTGTTTCCCTCTATTTGTGCCGGTTACATCCATCAATGCACAAAAACGGAACTCTTGTTCTTTTTCGCGTTGAGAGCGCGCATAAAGCGCACAGGAGAGCCTAGCATCACACGCAGACACACACACACACATATGCAGAAACAGAGCATCTGCTATATCACAGATGCATAAACTCATAGCATTTTCTGTCTCGCGTGCTGGGTGGTCATCATCTCAGCTCATGAATCCTGCAATCCTGTGGCTTGCCCAGTTGCTGTTGTGTTCCTGGAAATGCCTCGGCTGTCGTCCCAGGGCTCGCCGCTGAATGGAAAGATTCAGAGATGCTACAGATGAGGAGGCTCCGGCTTCGACATTACAAAGAGTGTTGAACGTAATGGGTGTGGAGGCAACGTGCATGTGAATCTCAATGCAGACTGAGGCAGCCTTGGTGTCCAGCTGGGCATACTCTGCCTGGCGGCACCTTGGCGGCACAGACGCCTATTCTAGACAACCAGTGGCACCCCTTTCACATCGATTTTTTCGCACCTTCGAGGGCCATGCTCTCCGAGGGTCGCAAAGAGGTGTCATCCTTAGACTCCCTTAGACAAAGCAGACTTTCATTATTCCTAGAGGGTTCCATTTGGGCACAGGAGACGGCAAAAAACTATGCTCGTACCTTTGTCCGGCTTTTCGAGGAGGAGCGGAAGGCACCAGACTTCGTGCGCCGATGTCACGCAGCGACTGGCGGTGTCATGTCAGGCTCCCAGTGAGATGGCCACGCAGGAGTTCTTCGAACTCACGAAGGCTCGCTGCACGAGCCCGTGTCAACCAAAAATGGCTCGAGGCCTGTATAACTAGGAGGGGCTCCATTGTGCCGCCGCAGAAGAGTAGTTTGGAGATGTGGGGAAAACGTGAGGCGTTTTTGGTGGCAGGATGTTTCTGGACAAGGTTGCACATGCCAAAGAATTCGCTTCTATAGAGTCGAAGAGTGGTGCACCAAAGAGAACGGACAAGTCCAGAAAATGTGGTAAGTGCTAGATGTTTATGCTTGATCTACAAGTTTACACCCGAGTAGCCAACTGTACGTACAGGCGCCGAAAGCGATGTACATACCGAGGAACATGCTCAGACTCCAGAGTCATTCTGAGCCTCCTTGCCCTGCCTTCCTCAGCCCCTGCCACCCGGGGTGAAAAGTGCAATACCTTTTTCCACGAAATGTGGCGCAGCATGTGAAGCCAAGAATGACCGCTCTGGGGACTTTCTATTTGTGGTTGTTCATTGTCCTGGAAGGCATCGCCCAAGAACAAAAGTGGGTTGCGGGCTCATGGCACCGTGCGAGGGTGCTTTGCACTGGAGATATCCCGGCTTTAAGAGACCCCAAGGAACGGCCAGCGAGCTGCTTCCGTTGCCGCTTTCCGTAAGTTCTACGACAGCATTCAGGCCGTCGAGGTTGATTCGTACATTGCCTCAGCTGGACTGCTTATCGAGGGAGATGTCTCAAAGCTGGAGCAGCCCGACGAGACCATCAAGTTCTGTCAGGTACGACCTGCCCAGTCCTACTAGGTGCTAGCAGTAACTGTTTGCTTCGATGCAGCATCTTGACAGCTCGAAGGTCAGTTTGCCTGGAATGGTCAAAGTCCGAGGGCCCAAGAGGAAGGAGCCAGAGTCACAGGCCGCGCAGGCTGGATGCCGAGCACACGAAATGACTCCCGAGTACTCTGGAAGTCTCTCCTTCCAAGGCGAAGGATAGCAACGGCCGCGTCGCAGAGGTGCGTTCTCTCTCTCTCTCTCTTCTCTCTCTTTTCTCTCTCTTCTCTCTCTTCTCTCTTCTCTCTTCTCGCTGTTTATTGTCTCTTCTCGCCTCTCGCTTCTCTCTCCTCTCCTTTCTCTCTCTCTCTCGCTCTCCCTCGCTCCGTGGAGGCCGAGAACGGCAGGCACCCACCTTAAGCTGTAAAGGGTCACCCGAACCCCCGCCGGATTTCAGAGACACCTGAAGTGCCCAGGACTGTCAAGAAACGCAAGCGTGAGCCTCGCGACGAGGACAATGCTGCTTGCCCAAGATCCTTTGTGCCATACCTCGTCTGAGCTGAAACACAAGTGGCTACAGTTCACTCTGCCGCTTCAACTCCTTTATCCTTGCCTGGGTCAGGATGTTGAGGGCGCGGCTGTTGCCTGAGACAAACAACGGTGTGCATGTGCTTCGTGCTCTCCTTTCTGTCTAAGGCCGAAAACGGCAGGTTTGCCACCCAGATATGGGCATGCTCGGGCTAAATCAGCCGATTACGACAAACAGGCCAAGGCCAAGCTAGCTCTGCCCTTCATGGGACTTTTGGATTTGTGCTTCCGCCCTCCCACTACGGGTGCAAAACAACTCTCGCCCCCTAGTACAACTAACTAAGGATGTCGCATGAGAGGGGTCAAGTTTGCTAAAGGGCATTGGCATGCGCCGGTGCTGGGAGAACAGCTCGGGCGCATGCCGAGGCAGATCTTGCCAAGAACAGCCGAGTCTGGAGTTGATGGCCGATCGAGCTTGGAAATACACAGCAGCAAATCCCACGCAGTTCTTGCGCAAGAACAGGATAGAAGGCTTGTCACAGCCAAGGTCACAGAAGCATCCTCACGAACAGCCGCAGGTCCCGCACTGTGGGAAGGGCTCAAGGGACAGAGGCTGAAAGTCGTTCCCACAGCCGTCTGCGTTTGGAGCGGTGTAGCACATCGCCTCGAGGATGCAAGCAACGACACGCCTCAGGAGGCGCCCTGAAACAGCAAGTTGTGGTATCCGGTGTGGGTCTGTTTCTATTTCGGATGCTGGGAGGCTTCAGCACCTGCGGTGGCGAGGTCGGCCGATGTTGCGATATGAAATTCGAGAGAGAGAGAGAGAGAGAGTACCAGGCTGTAACGAGGCCGGGGGGACCACATAGGTTTAGGCATGAGGGGGGTCAGCAGTTGCAAACCCGCGGCCTCAACTAACAGCAAGGTCTTACCACAGACACACGAACCAGGGCGCGTTCGCTCGCAGGGGGGGTGCTTTGCGCTCTCCTTTGGCTGTGTAGAAGAAGAGAGAAAGAGAGAGAAAGAGAGAGAAAGAGAGAGAGAGAGAGAGACCACCAGAGTGCCTGCGTGTGTGTGTGTGTGTGTGTGTGTGTCTGTGTGTGTGTGTGTGCGTGGCAAGGAAGGTTGTGAAGCTCGACCAGGTCTTCGGTCTGTGCGGCCCTTCAAACGTTTCCGCATCTTTCATCTTCCATGGCTCCCTTCTCCCTCCGACCGGTCTCTATGAAGTGGTGCTAGCGGATTTGAATGGCACTTTCCACCGATTGAGAGCGACACCTTGAGGTTGGGAAGTGTCGATGCAGCGCAGAGGTCGAGCTCAGAGTCTTCCAGGTTTGGGGGAGAATTTCGCTCAGAGCTTCCAGGTCCTCTGATCCGGAGAGCCGGCTTGCGAGTCGGCCCCGAGTTCTCTTTGTCCACGGCCGCGATCCGGCGAAAATGATGCCCGGATCCAAGCGAAATAGCATCGTTCCGCATCTCTTACCCAAGCATCCTAAGGACCTCGCGCGTGCACGGCGTGTACACGGAGCTGGACAGCTTGTTGCGTTGGAAAGCTCCAAGTCAAAAAATCTTGATACACATGCGGAGAGGCTGCGTAGTCCGCCGATTCCTTACAAGTCTCATCCGATTCCACTCCAGGAAGCGACGAAGGATGGGCGTCCCATCTTCGAGAAAGTGGATCACGAGAAGAGGCTTGCCAAGGTTTGGGTGCGGCGGTCCTCTGATGTCCACCAGTGCGCCGCGTTGAGCAGCATTCGGGTTTAAGTATCCGAAGGTAAACGGCCAGGCTTTTCAGTTTCCATGTCACCTTTGTTTGACAGCAGGGGGCTTCCTATGCATGTTGCAGCCGAGGAAGACCTACATCTCCTTTGTCGGAGACAAGAAAACTTGGCGAATGTCCGTCTCGGTGACTTCCCCGGGAGACTTTGCAAAGGTCAAGGCCAGAAGCCTCAGCACCTTGCAAAGAGTCTCTCGCATGCCAACGAAGCAGACTGTGCTGATCTATGCTGAATGTGAGTGCTTGCGCTTGGAGGAGCCTGCGGACCTCCCTTGGCAAGTTTCCAGGCCCTGGAAAGTCTTCAACGGAGACGGAAGCTATGACGAGGACTCGCTTGCTGTTACCTATGCTGGTAAGGTGCTGCGACTTCCAGCACACAATGAAAAAGGGACTCCACAGCGGCCGTAGCCACGCGAGTCATGCGAGCAAAGGACATTGACATACAGCACACGCAGTGGGATTCCTCGGAAGGTGTTTGGAGATCAGTTTCAAGGCATAGGATCCTCCACGCTGGTGGAACCCATTTGTGTGGGTAGCTGCGAGGACGCTTCCCTCCGCTGTGACTTCCTGGATCCAGAGAAGCCGGCGCCAGATCTGGAAGTTGAGGCCGAGCATAGGATCCACCGCGCTCACTGCGATCCTCCGCACGCTTCCGCCGCGAGGTGTGCCTTCCCGTGTGGCCTCCAGGCGAGGGGATGCCAGATGTCGGCGTTTCATGTCGTGATAGGGCCAGGACGCAATGTGTTCATCCTGAAGGTCTAGTGCTGCACGAACGTGCGTACATGGGCAGCTCAGCTGTGGCTGCGAGACTGTCTACACTTGTAGCTTCTTGTGGGTTGTCGTGCCCGTTTTGCTCGGGACCGGACAGTCTCGTTCCACTCCATGCCTCCACAGTCTCCAGCACCTCGTACAGCCCATCCGTGCCAATCCATGTCCAGATGACATCATTGTAGCAGGCCTGACTGACGGCACTGTGGTGCAAACCGCGCCCCTCTCTTTCTGGTGGTTTGATTTCAGGTGAAAGGTGGCCG